CACGGGTTCACAACATCGTCTCCTTCGCGCAAGATTCTATTTCTCGCGAAAAGGAGGAAAAGCCGCTAAATTCCAAAACCGAAGTCCGAAAACCACCGCAAACTGGGACTTATTCAATTCAATAGCTGGCTATTGGAAAGATGCCATTGTCGATAACATCGACGAGGAATCCGATCAGCTCATTCAACATCTTCACGTTAGCGCTATGAAAGCTGAAAGTTAGAAAGTCACCATGAGAGACAAAGACAGACAGACAGACAGAGCCAGACAGGACATCCAGACAAAGCCAAGCTGATACGCCAACGTGGAATCACACGAGCTGCAGGCAACCGCGAACTAACGTTTGAACTTGCAACTCAATGCAGACGTGCGACAAAGGAAGATCTTAAAGAGGGAAAAGCAACAGTAATGTTCGAAGCTGCAGAGGCTGGGAAAAGCATTCGCAATGCCCACCGAAGCTTCACCAATTGCAAGACCAGAATGATTATACTCTGGCGCCCAGACCGAGCAGTTACAGCGTCCAGAAAGGTAATGGAAAAAATCATTCACGAATACTACTCGGTTCTTTTCGATAGCCACGTTCACCTTCCATTATATAAAATGAAGGAGGATTGATATGTTGTGCCACCGGTTCTCCCTTCCGAAATCCGACATGCCATCTCGTCGGTGAAAAATCGAACGGCACCAGGTCCGGAGAGGATGAGACCAGAACAACTGAAGAACCTTTCGCCAATCATCGTAAACACACTTGCTCGGATCCTCACACGTTACCTGTCTGAATACAAGGTCCCTAATCAGTGGAAGACCAGCAGGACCGTGTTATTGTTCAAGAAGGGTGACCTACACGATATCGGCAACCATCGCCCGATCTGCTTGATATATGTCGTCTACAAACTTTTCATTCGAGTTATCCTAAACAGGATTGACAGAAAACTGGACGAAGAACAACCATGTGGGCAAATAGGGCTTCGAAAAGAATTTAGTACGATGGACCACAACCACACGGTAAGGCTCATTGAAGTATCGCAAGAGTACAAAAGACCGCTCGGTCTCACTTTCGTCAATTTACAGAAGGCCTTTGATTCAGTTGAGATAGAGACAGCCTTGGAAGCCCTTGATAGTCAAGGAGTTCAGTACACAAAGAACATTCGTGAGCTGTACAAAAACTTCACAGTCAAAGTATAACCATTCTACAACGGTATTAACATTGACGTCAAAAGAGTAGTTAGGCAAGGTGACATCATCTCTCAAAAATTTTTTACCAGAACACCCCAGAACGTTATGCGAACATTGGAATGGGATAAAATGGGAGTGAAAATTGATGGTTGGCAGTTACATAATCTACGCTTTGCAGATGATATCGTCCTTATAACACCAAACATTAGCCAAGCGGAACGTAAGTTTAACGACTTTGGTAAAGCCTGTATAAATATTGGTTTTTGACTAAATCTCACAAAAGCGATGCTTATGAAGAACGGATTGGTTTCGCATTCTCCATTCACGCTCAACTGAACGAATATCTCCGAATGCTCCAGTTATATGCATTCAGGTCGGGAAAACAATGTGATGAACGACCTATCTCTAGAGCTGAGCAGAAGAAAACGAGCAGCTTGGGAAGCTTTCAAAAGCATCGAGGATGTAGTGAAGAGAACAAAGAACACCCAACTCTGTGCCCACCTTTTCGACTCAGCGGTACTTCCTGCCCAACGTATGCGTCAGAAGCCTGGTGGCTGCGTGAGCAGGATGAAAGATCACTCAGCGTTATCGAACGCGCAGTCGAAAGGACGATGCTAGGTGTACCCTGTTCCATACAAGTAAGGGATGCGATCCGAAGCTCCGATCTGCGTCAGCGATCAAAAATCAAAGATGCCGTTTTGTACACCAAATAGTCGAAGATAAGGTGGGCTGGACACGTAATGCGTATGAATGACAACCGATGAACAAGAGCCGTTAGTGACTGAATTCCTCGAGATGTCAAACATACCGCAGGAAGACAATCAACCCGATGGTCAGAGTTTTTCACAAGGTGCCTTGAAGAAAGGTATGATGGTCGACGAGTCCCTAGAGCGAGGAAAACCCACTGGGTCACTTTTGCACGCGACAGGGATAAATGAAAGATTTACTGGAGCCCGCTCGAGTCACTCGACGATCAACGGGACTACAGGTGATAGAGGTGATTGTTTGGAGAAGGACGCGTATGGCGCAGTGGCCGGAGGCGCCTTGTAACACACACGTGGAATCGATGCATGCACCCCTGGCCCACCAAGCCTTCCATTCCTCCCGAGTTTGCAAACTTGTGCCAGACTTGCCCGGGTGGACAGCACCACTGGCTCGATACATCGATAGGCCACCATGAGCCATTGTAAAGGCCAGGTGCACATTCAATCCCCTCCAAACGATGCTTAAGCATGGCACAACCTTCAGGGATTGATCGACGCAGAAAGCTTTATCCTTTACTTTATTGTGCGGATAGATATATTTGGAAAAAATCCAAACCAAAGCAATATGAATGTGTCGTTTTCTTTTTCAGCAATCACGAGGTTTTTAAACAGCATACATTTACTTCCATAGAAAAACACAATACAATACAACACTAGCCGACGTTTCGGCAGTATCGCCTTCTTCAGAGTCTGGAAGGGTATACTGATATACAATCTACTAGGCTAAACGCTTCAATGACACTTACAAAAAGACGGAAAACTCCTTGGTAATTACATGATCAACAACTTCTCGAAACACACGCCGCTTTTTCGTGACTTCCAATGAGGAGGTTTGGAAGAGCTGATTATAGTCGCATGTGGTTGACGACTGCATCATCCCACATTAAAAATCGATGCGAACATACGGGATCAGGTTGCGTATGACCTCCGGGCATTCGTCCCTGCTATTCATTCTAGGGTTTTTGGCATTTATCCAAGAAGCCTCAAGGAGTTTTCGCGCTGGTGTTTTGGTCCCTATGCAAGGATATTGACTTTCACTTCAAAATCGTCTCCGCTATGCTTTTGTATCCTATGCGTGCCTAGTGGGTTGCTTCGTCTTAGTTTTCGTTTGCCATCTAGGTGTTCTTTTATACGGATACACAAAGGTCTGCCCGTTTCGCCAATATATTCATCTCCGCAATTGTTACACGAGATCAGGTATATCGTACCTGAACTCATGCAATCACCGTCCCTGCCGTAAGGGCAAATTACGCAATTTGTTGTTTCACACAGACGGTGATCCAGGCGGTTGCGAACTAATTGGCGGCATAGAGTAGCCGGTGGTATTTCAACTATCGCTACCGATTCCTCTAGACTTGCCCTTCTTAAGCATCGTTTAATAGCTACGCCTACTTTATCACTAATAAAAGGCAACATAAACGGGACTTTCTTTTGGCGAAGTGTTTCGCGTGGGTGCGTCGTTCTCCTTGTAAACTTATCTCGTGGGGCTACTATTTCGTAGCCATTGGAGATGGCTATTTGCCGAGCCAAGTCACGCGATTCTTCCTTTAGTTCCCTGATAGTGCACACAGAGGTGACTGGCCCTCTTTGTGTGTGAAGGGTGGGAAGAAAGGAAGTAAACGATAGTGATAAAATAGCGACTGGCACCAAGCCTTGCCATTGTGTTTATGTCTAAAGTAGACCCCCGCTCTCGGTGTCCGGCCACTACTCTACTGCAGATATGTAGATGATTGTTTTGTCGTCCTCTGTACGCAGGACGAGGTGGACAATGCTTTGAATTATTGAACGAGCAGTCGGAGTACATAAAGCTCACCCGGGAGAAACCAAGAGAAAACTAGCTTCCGTTTTTAAACGTTCAAATAAACCTATCAAGTAACGGTTACCTGACAAAGTGGTATCGAAAGCCAAGTAACAAGAACATTCTTGTTCATTTCCTTTCCTCCCACCCTTCACACACAAAGAGGGCCAGCCACCTCTGTGTGCACTACCAGGGAACTAAAGGAAGAAACGCGTGACTTGGCTCGGCAAACAGCCATCTCCAATGGCTACGAAATAGTAGCCCCACGAGATAAGTTTACAAGGAGAACGACGAGCCCACGCGAAACACTTGGCCAAAAGAAAGTCCCGTTTATGTTGCCTTTTATAAGCGATGAAGTAAGCGTAGCTATAAAACGATGCTTAAGATGGGCAAGTCTAGAGGAATCGGTAGCGATAGTTGAAATACCACCGGATACTCTACGTCGCCAATTAGTTCGCAACCGCCTGGATGACCGTCTGTGTGAAACAACAAATTCCGTAATTTGCCCTTACGGCAGGGACGGTGATTGCATGAGTTCAGGTACGATATACCTGATTTCTTGTAATAATTGTGGAAATGAATATATTGGCGAAACGGGCAGACCTTTGTGTATCCGTATAAAAGAACACCTAGATGGCAAACGAAAACTAAGACGAAGCAACCCACTAGGCACGCATAGGATACAAAAGCATAGCGGAGACGATTTTGAAGTGAAAGTCAATATCCTTGCATAGGGACCAAAACACCAGCGCGAAAACTCCTTGAGGCTTCTTGGATAAATGCCAAAAACCCTAGAATGAATAGCAGGGACGAATGCCCGGAGGTCATACGCAACCTGATCCCGTATGTTCGCATCGATTTTTAATGTGGGATGATGCAGTCGTCAACCACATGCGACTATAATCAGCTCTTCCAAACCTCCTCATTGGAAGTCACGAAAAAGCGGCGTGTGTTTCGAGAAGTTGTTGATCATGTAATTACCAAGGAGTTTTCCGTCTTTTTGTAAGTGTCATTGAAGCGTTTGGCCTAGTAGATTGTATATCAGTATACCCTTCCAGGCTCTGAAGAAGGCGATACTGCCGAAACGTCGGCTAGTGTTGTATTGTATTGTGTTTTTCTATGGAAGTAAATGTATGCTGTTTAAAAACCTCGCGATTGCTGAACAAGAAAACGACGCATTCATATTCCAATGCCGAGGTTAATAGAAAGTCGATCCTGGGAACTATTACAAAGCAATATTCTTCCTGTGCATGAAATCAGTATCAAAGAAAAACTATATAAGAAAAGAACGAAGAAGGAAAACTGTAACTAACCGGCGTATTATCGTCAGTTCCAGGCCAATCTTTTAATACATAGTCGGCTTTATGATAAATTCCGAACGGTGAGGCAAATATTAGCGACACTAACCATGAGAAGTACACCATCTTATGCACCTGAATCCAATCTGTTATCGCGACTATAGTATAATTTCTTAGACAGCCACAAGGTTTATCTGTATTCGTGAAATGGAGCTCTAGTAGGCAAATCATATAATTCATTTCAAGCTTCTGTGCCTTCTAACCCGATACGTGTCCATGGAGATAAATTGGGAAAAAAGCCACCTAAAAAATGCCGGTAGTTCCAGTATGTCACCGATCGCATTCTAAGCTCTATCATCATCATTACGCTTGCGAGAACTAATTAAACGCATTTCATGCGTATTGATCGTTACTGCGAACTACTGTTGGAAAGAATGGAACATTTGTGAGAATCAGTTACCAATGTTTCCACTTAACTAGTCGTAATTCAAGCACAGGATAATGTAGGTTAAATGCAAACTAACTCACGTTTTTTCTTAAAGATTTAATGTTTCCGAAGAGAAACGGATGACATACAGCAATATACCGTTCAAAGGAAAACAGTAGAATGGTGAGTATAGATGTGTAGCTGCAAGTGCAAAATTGAGGAATAGCGCCATAGTGAAAAAACAGAAAGCACGTGGGAAAAGCAAACCAAATTTAATTTCCTTAGATATATTGAAAAACGACATACTTTGTTGTTTCGGCAATCAACGCTTTCAAATTACAAAACACATCTGGGAATGGCCATGGATACTGTCTCCAGTTCATTATCAGCTCAAACGGTAGTCCAACACTTAGTGTTATGATATCGGCAACAGCAAGATTAATGATGTAGACACTGAGAACACAATAAGCGAGCAATTTCGTATTTAACAAACGAAATGAGAGCTAGAAATCACTGAACAGCTAGAAAACCGTGTCAGTTCATCACCTGCTGTGAGTTTTGATGCGTGGATGTCGAGAAAGCACGGCAATCGCCATTATGTTACCAAAAAGCCCAACTAGTAGTATTAAAGCATAGCCAATAGTCACCTTAAATTGAATTTCCGTTATTACTTAGTTACTAGCTGTTATTTGATTAAACGATTTTCATGTTCGTTTTTGTTGTACTACGCGTTTAATTATTACTTATAATAATGTCCAATTATAAAGTTTTCTCAAATGCCATGATTACAATAAATGTTTAAAATGAATAGGGGTGGATAGCACAGTGGTAGTGATGTCCGTTATCACAAGCATGGTACTGTTGGATTCCGCCCGGAGCCAACCAAGCTTCTCATCCCTCCGGGGTTGGGAAATTGGTACCGGACTTGTCTGGGAAAAAAAGCGCCCTCTGCAATCCAATTCGGAACGGTCCTTGAAGCCCGAGTTTCTCAGGACTCAAGGGAGAACTGTTCGACCAGCATTCTACAACATTAAAGATGAAATGGAAATCGTCACGCAGCAACCGAAGCCATACGTAAAACTTGGAAGATCCTCGTAGACGATGTATGCGAGGAAGCGAATCGAATGTGAGAAGTGCTGGGATCCGCACTGTAGACGTGAGGACGGGTAAAATAAAATGAAGTAAAAGAAATCAATAAATTTAAGATGAATAACATAAGCAGCTGCGACGAAGTCTCCTCTCTGTTCACTTCTTCTTTTTCCTTCGTTGGTCAATACTATACGTCTCATTCGAAAAAGGTTTCAATGAGCATTTGGAGATATTTCCATATCAACCTCGATTCCGAATAATTGTTACGTTTGCGTTCTCATACTTTATGCTATTGATAAAAATATCCTAAAGGAAAGAACCAAGAACAATGTCAAGTTTCTATTTGCTGCCTGCTTTAATTTTTCATGGCAGGATATTGTGTGAAATACAAACATAAGGATGCTGAGATATTTGCAACACTCCCGACCATAGGTGTCCGTGGTGGGAAGCCAACGCGTTGTTACCTTTTCCGGGAGGTAACGCGGTCACCAAGAATTTTGCAAACATCTCAGAGCCAAGAATAATTGTCTCTATGTGAGTCATATATGATGCACTTTCCTTCTTTCCAGGCGTCATTTCGCATCATAGATCTTTTTCCTGAACTATTTGCTATCACTTTAAAACTTGTCAAACCAAAGCACTGTGATAGATGTTGACAAGGAAGACCTCTGTGCTATGATGCAAAATTTAATATGTGAGAATAATCTACAGAACATGAAAGAAACGAGTAGGAGAATAAGAATCAAGAGCTGTTTTCAGAGGTGAACTGGTGCAATCTATGAGCGTGCACTTTATGGATTCCCAGTCTTCCCAAGATACACCAATTTTGGTGACATCGAAAAGATCCATGGGCTAAAATTATATCTTACAAGTTCACACAATCGCTTGCCATCTGATGTTTTAACGAAGTGTTCTTAAGAACCGAATTTGATTTCGTAAGTCACAGTAAGCTGGAAATCAAAACTCCTCCGAAAAAAGCTTTTTGTTAGTTATCAAATGCAACCTAGCTAAGAGTAAACCAATACCAGGACCCACCACCGTCCTGGTATCAAAGTCGCATGGTAGTAAATCTCCCTCTGATCCACAAAGGCCGCGACCGCTTGTGGTGGTGAAGACCTGGGGCAGACTTTGACCAGGCTAACCTCGGGATTTCAGTACAATGGCTTAACTAGCAGTTTTCCGATAAATGGAGATTATGTTGGGGTTCGCACAACCAGTGAGGACGAGCCATTTAGGTGCCAAGTATCAAGTATTAAACATGGAGAAAAGTTTTTTAAGATGCGATTCCTATTACATCGATCTATACTGGATGGTCCACAAAGTGGATGGAAAAAGTTTGACAAAAAAGTCATAACAAGATGCATTGCATACAACTATATCGTCCAATGCGGTCGTCAACATGTGAATGTATGCATTACATATTCCTCATTATAGGAAGGACGTAGTAAAGAAAACCGGGTAAAGAGCTTATTAGATTATGTACCTTTTTTGCAGTCTTTTCAAAGGAGGCTCTAAATCTTCATATCTTACGGATCCTCATAACTCCTTGCTACCGTAATGTAAACAATAACTTTGTAGTTGAATTCACCTTTAGTAATATTGATTGATCGAGTGCTTTTTCGCTGATAAAACATTCCTTCATCCAGCATTCCTCTTTCAGTGCAATCGAGTAGTTGAATACCCGTGGGCATTCGATCGCCAAACAGTCACATTTATTCTCATCATCTTTACAGTTCAACATTGCACTAAAATAGGTTTTGAGGAAAAAGGAGCGAATCGATAAATTACTGTAATTTAAAGGGCACGACATTTAGCATTTTGTGATTAAATCAAGAAGCAAACCGCTCTGCTACTACACAAAAACTCCAACGAAAACAAAGTCTACGATTATTGAGAGAAAATGGGTTAACTAGAAGTTTTGATGGAGATAAAAGGGAAACCGTGAAGCAACGCCATTTAAAAACTCGGTATCAAACATGACATAAATGAACGGAAAGAGAAATAATAATGGAAAAAGCGATGCATAGGAAAGGAAAAGTGACACAAGTAAAGAAGTCATTGTGAGGAAAGAGTGCATATTAAGTTGTTTCAACCTTCAATTACTTCCTATTCTTTTCTGGGGCAGTGTATTATGTGGAATTTTTTATTACTAGCTGACAGATAGGCGAAACAAAGGTCTCGGTTGGTGTGGTGGATAAAACATGAGCCGCCCGTAAGAGTAATCACGGGCTCGAAGCGCAACAAATGGTCCGAGTTCTGCACAAATGGTCCGAGTTCTGCACACATCTCTGCATCATTGTGTTTATGATAATTCTATTCTCCCAATTCTTAGCGGCGTTGAAGCGTCTAGCTAGAATCCCAATTTTACCATTTCGATGAAATTGTTGGGCATCCTTGAGAAAATCCTGTGCTGAAGTTTTATCAAAGAAAGTTACTGAAAACTTTGAAAACAAAGAAGAGTCTTGGGTTTAATACAAAAGCCTCAGAGTATAAAAAACAAAAAAACGTAGGCGGTTTATGGTTGTATGATTGTGCCAGTTCAATAAAATGAAGACGAAATTCAAAAATCGACCGCGAAGAGTACCGAAAACCGAACTTTGCCGTTTTGATGTTCATGAATTAATGNATCAAAGAAAGTTACTGAAAACTTTGAAAACAAAGAAGAGTCTTGGGTTTAATACAAAAGCCTCAGAGTATAAAAAACAAAAAAACGTAGGCTATGATTGTGCCAGTTCAATAAAATGAAGACGAAATTCAAAAATCGACCGCGAAGAGTACCGAAAACCGAACTTTGCCGTTTTGATGTTCATGAATTAATGGATTACTCCACAACAGTTTACCGCCTCATCGTGGCTGGGAGGTGTTCCTGGGGTCGGACTGCGATGTATAGAGGAGGATTCATCCCCTGGCAGAGTCTCCCAGGCTGAAAAGGAGTCCGGCATTTCCATCAGGAAACTTAGCTAAAAGTGAACCAATGACAAGGTCCACCACTGTCCTGGTATCAAAGTCGCATGGTGGTAAATCTCCCTCTGATCAGCAAGGTCTACGACTGCTTGTGGAGGTGAAGACCTGGAGCAAACTTTTACCAGGCTGACCTCGGAACTCCAGGGAACCATAAAGGCTTAACTAACAAATCTCCGAAAAATGGAGATTATGCTGGGGTCTGCACAACCAGTGAAAACGGGCCATGCAAGTAACTATCAAGTAACTAAGAATTAATAGATAGAACATCTATAAAACGCAAAAATAGCGTCTCACGATTACCAAACATGTCTGTGTGAGAACGTACGGAATATGGAAATGATAACCTGTGGCAGAATAGGGCATGAAAAAATGGCAGGCTAGGGAGTGAAGGAGAGAATGATGCAAGCTGTTCGAAAAAAGCGATTGCAAGCGTCTTCTGATGAGAAACGAGTTAAGTTAGGCTTCGCTCTAAAGCATTTGAATCAAATTTAATTACATACAAAAAATTTCTAGCCGCTTTTTTTTTTCATTGCCTTTCTGACATGGCTTGCAAGGATCCGTGAAGAATATCGGCAAAGAGTGATTTGCACATTAGACGGCAAACACAATTAAAATGAGTCTATTGTAGAATTCTTTCCTCTCCATAAAAAAACAACTGAAAGACGGGAGGGTTACGAATTTATCGACTATTTACGGATCACATATATCAACATTAATTTTGGTAGTTATCAAGTAACTCGAACTGTGAGTACTATCTTCATTTGTGATCATGTCGCGCCAGCCAAGAACTGTCTCTTTGCCAGAGAGATGTGAAGAGCATCAAATAGTAGGAGAACTCTGAAATATGGCACTTTGGTTGCAAAGATGGCAACATCCAATAAGCATGAAACTATTTAACATAAATCTATATTTAGTTGAGCTACTTGACTGGAATATCTATCGCCTTCTCAACTTAAGTGACTAGGGCTTGTGGAGCGTGTTTTATTGAGACCAGGCCATTGCCAGCCAAGATAAAGAGTTAAGATGAAGTGTGAAGAATAGCATAGCACAATTTTTGTAAAAAAGTTGAAAGTGTTTTGTCCATGTAGACAATAAGTAGAATATCATTTTATCTTGAAAGCAAATCCATAGCCAACGGCGCGGTCCTCGTGATTATCATTTTAACAACAACACTGTAAAGTGAGGATTAGGCACTTGACCATAAGGCTTTTTAAAAAAGACAGTAAAATAGTTTTTGTTTCGAGGATTTTTGCTGATATAACCTATAGTCAATACCACGCTTGCGAGTTAGGATAACGTCAACAAATGCCTACATGTTCTCTCTCGCTCTCTCTCTCTCTCTCTCGTATGCGAAATAAAAAGAAGTAATCAAACTACTTTACATCACCGATAAGCTAAAACGATGTTGTCACTGAATATCTACTCGGCTAACGTTTCGACGTCCTCGCCTTCCTCAGATCTGAAAAACTGAGTCGGTAGTCCATAGCCGTTCGTCCTCGCGATTTGGGGTCCTCGTTATGGTATCAAGCCAAAGCTTCTTCAGTTAGACTGGAATAAAGTGACCTCAACCGATGAAGCTCTTCTATACGAGACGGCCGTTTATACTGATTATCTGTTTCTAACAATTTGTCCTTCAAGGGATAACTGATCATGCAGCAGCAGTAATAAATAAGCTTGCGCGTTACGGGGTAATACCATTGTAATTTATTGTAAATCGTTAAAGACTGCTTAGCATAGTTAAATAAAATAATACGGCACAAACTGAATTCGAATTGGGACTTGAAGAAATTAATGAAATATACGAATGTTTTGCAGCCATCCATTGCAGACAATCAGTAGTCTCCCCTGCTTCAACACGCTATTGCGTTTTGGGTTTCTTGATGCCAAACCATGTACAGCGGCGAATCCTTTCAACAGCAGGTCACTATGCTGAGAAGAAGTGCGTAATTTCTTTTCGGAAACCTAGCTAAAAAAGACCAGTGCTACGACGAAATGCGCTGGGAACAGTGGAAATCGCGCAAAAAAGTTTGTCGCTCTTCGTATCTCTTTCAATTATGTGAACAAGTAGATGAATTGGTGAAAAAGAAAATATAAACATCTGATTAGACCGCTCAGAGAGTTCGTTAGTGTCCTCTCTAGTCAGTAAATAACAATATTAAGCTTGAAACCACGAACAGAAAGAAAATCGTTGAATTTCGGCCATCCAGTATTGCCTACTGGTAAAAATATGTACTCGAACTGTAATCGGAGAAGCGTCTAGTTGAGTTGTTCACAATCGTTCCAGAAGTTTTTCATGAACTGGGTCTTCTACCGGTTTTTGTCTCGCTCGCCCCTTGTTCCCAATTCCTTGAACTCATTCAGTGGCGTGTCGTCTCTGATTTGCTGGCACTTGTGGAGAAAATGACGTTGTACTAAGCAAAACGAAAACTGGTAAGAAATTCGCCATCAACGCGTATGCTTTTTCAGCTCATTCAAGTGGCTTCAGTATAGGTGGAAATGCGGCAGTAAATAGCGTGACGCCATGTTGGACTGCTTTTCTTAAGAGAATGCTAAGTCGATGGAAAAGCTGCATTTTCATGACGCAGTTTCCACAACAATGAGCTATGGTTCTTGCGTAAGACGGACAAAGTTCAGATGGCGCTTACGACGACCTATGACTCAGAATGCAATTTGGATGTGGTCCATGCAGCAAGTCTCTTGTCGGGTTCTTGCATGGCCAACTTGTTGTTTCTCGTAAACTGTGCATGATGCGCAATAGACAGTTACGGAGATCCCTTCGATCACGCTTCCTAGTTAGGTTAACTGTGGGCGAAATCCTCGTCTGGGTTGATGATTTCAGCTAACGATGGTGAGATATCATTTAGTTTGGGATAACCACATGTCTTTTGTGTATTTGAGCGCAAATTGGATAGTGAGAATTCTAAAGTATGCTCTTCTTTGAGATTTCTATCGAAACTCGAATTTCAGAGTAAAGAATCCTGGGTGACTTTTTCCAGCAAAAATTTTGGTAATCGGGAAAAAATTGATCGAAAAGAAAAAGCTTATGTTGAACTTTTCGTTGTAAACTTTACATCACTGCAAAGATGTCCTATAGCAAGTATTTGTGAACGGCCACGCTGGGTGTGCTGCAGCACAATCCAATTTCGGTTTTATCCTTTTTCTTTTAGCAAATTGTTAATGATAATGCGTATGTTATTTGGAGTTCTTGTTTAAGGAACGAAAGCGAGTTCGCCACATGGTTTAAGTTCTTCGACAACAAACTTGTCGTCTTTTGTAGGTTTTGTAGGCTTAATTTGCCAATGATCTATAGATAAGGTTGCATTGTTTTCATCAAACACATTTTCTCTTCTTGTGCGGAAGACTTCCAAACTATGGCTGAATCGAATCAACGGACGGAGAAAGAGGTGATCGGATCAACTAAAGAGTGCGGGCATCATGAAGATGTCAAAGAGGCACCATTTCCAACTCGTGAAAATGTGTCGATCTTTGCATGAGCCGTCCCATTAAGGAATTTCCATGCCCATAGGCGATTTTTTTTCTTTCACGAAATTAATTCTCGTGAGATGTTTTCGGACAAGAGTCCACTATGGTGAGTCGTCGTTCATTCTTCGATCCACTGGAGGTGATGACAACGAAAAGCTTTGTCAGAACTTCATGAAAGGTTTGTTTAATCAACAAAACAAATACGAAAACTGCATGAACATGCGGTGCCAAAAAATAGCGACAAATCGATGAGAAAAGATGTGAAAAGGATTACAAAACGACGACACCATCCTC